CATTGTAATATAAAAATAGAACGTAGATGGACGTTCTGTGGCTAGTGTGGTTGTTCGGCGCAACACTATAGCCATTTGCCTTGGTACGCTTCGAATTTGACATTGCTGGAAGTATTTTTATCGTGACACTAAATCTATGGTTTTGCAGCTTCTTGTTCTTGGACCGTTGTGCACTAAAGGGTTTGAAAACAGCTTGAGTACTGACTCAGCATTTCATATCTTGTCAACTCACTGATAAGTTAAAGGCTAATTCTCTATCATTTCAAAATGAGAAACTAGACATTACAGTGTTCCGGTTTAACTAATAAGGTTAAATGCTTGTTGATCACTATTCGTTTTCCAAGCACAAAACGAGATTTCAAAAGAAGATTTAGGAAACTACAGGTCGAGTTTTGTGGTTTTCCTGAACAAACTGAATTTTGAACCACCATATAGCAAAAATTGTTCTTGAATTTTCAGGGTGGTGGTAGTGGTGGAGCAATACGTGATGCTGGTGGTGCATTCGGAAAGCAGCAAGCTGGAAGAGAAGAGCAATATTTTAAGAACATAGTTAGTACAGAATGCATATCGTTTCTTGAACTTTTTCAAAATTATCTTGAAAACTGATGTCGTCTTAGGAAGTGGAATTAAGAAACGAAATTTTTATTCACTTTAGGAAAGAGAGCAACTGAAATCATTGCGGCTGCAGTACAAGAATTTGCGCAAAGAGATGGAACGTGAAATTGAAGAACACGAAGAGCTTGCACGAGATCACACCGAAGCTGCTGGCCGGCTGAAGCGTCGCGTTGCCGAATTGCAACAGGAGGAAGAACAATTGGGACACTGAGAGCAGCCTTTTCTTTCCTTGGTTTTCCTCGGTAAAACATAGGATTCCGGCAGTGTTTTGAAGAGTATTGCAAAACAAATAAGTGGCAGATATGAGCAAGGAATAAATCCGGTGAACCCTTTTTCACCTCATCCTCTTACCCAGCTGCTGTACGCTCTCATGTGATATGCAAATGTCCCGTCTTGAGGCTTGAGTTTCTTCGATGATATAAAAGTGATATGGTCGAAAGTGAAACTAGTCCGATATTATTGCAATTGTGGTAGTACAAACTAATTTTAGGTAATACTATCTTTTCCCAGTCTTTGTTTCTGATCACTTTATAAGGGTCTGAACCTGTGCTGAAGAAATCAGATCTTGTACAGTTCGTTCATTCGTGTCGATGGCAAGTTGGTGCTGGTATATAAGTGAGGGACGCCGTTAGCTCGATTTTAAGCAACCTTCGGAAAAGGGAGCCATCGACAGACTTGCTTGCTGGTGGTTGCTGTAGAAACATCCCATTACTTGGCAGATTTCCGAATGCCTCTGTTTCTCAAGGAAAGTGAATTTTGGAAGAGTCTGTTCGAAGGAAGTAAATTTTGGATGGGTCTTTTAAAGGGAATCTTTAAAGCTATAGCAGTAGAAGGAAAGCAACAAAAATTTGGTCTATATCACGATTAATATGCTGTTAGATTCTTTAAATAAGCTAACGAAGTTTTGCTTCTGCTTGTGCTTTTCAGTCGGTCTTTGTAAAA